AAGGAGGACAATGACAGCAGCAAGATACTGGTGAGATGTTCAGAAACTGGAGTCCCCACAAGCAGCACACAGTACCTGCAGAGGGACACCGTAAAGGCCAGGCAGAATCTCCCAAACCATGTAGCTCTCATGTTTCACCCTGGTCTACCATCAGCTTCTTACCACGGATTCCCTTCGCAGAATGCTCGCTACCATCCTGCCTCCTCCAGCACTGCGGCACTGGGCACTGCCACCGGGGCAGGAACTGATGTTACCTCTGCAGGTCATCTTTGGGATTTAAAGAGTAACTTGCTAAGGTAATTTTCAGTTGACAGTTGTACAAACATCATTTCAGGCTCTCCTTATAATACCCTGTGAGGTAGGTATGAAAACTCAGCTTACAGTTGGAAAGCTCAGTTTAACAGTCTTGGACAGGGTAAGTGACCCACTCCAGGTATACTCTTAGCACAACAGGTGCCCAAATCCATATCTGTCTGGGTCCACATCGGAAGCTGCTTCTGCAGCACCCACATCAACAGCTATGGCCCTTCACTAGGGCTGTTGGGGGACGGAGGCGTGTCCTTGGTCTGTGGTGGCGTCGATCAGCAGGCCAAGGTGACGGGTGCGATTTCTGTGTGAGACAATTCCATTAACCATGTCCCTCAATCACAGATAGCACCCCTCACCTTGAGCCCAATGTCACAGGCAGGCTGGCGAGCGGTGGTGCTGGGTCAGCAACTCCATCTTGCTCTGTTCAGGAGGATGTAAGAGCAGGGGGCACCAGGTATGCTGAGACACAGACTGAATGAGTGAGCAAATTCGTGCTCCTACATGCTTACACAGCAGTCTCTCCTAAAGATGTAAAACACAGATGTGAAAAGACACCTTTCTCTGAGGAGCTCAGATTCAAGACTAGACAAACAAGAGTCCGGGCTAGAGGATATCCCCTGTACACCTGCAATGATCCCACAGAACAGTCATGAAAAGGACGAGCCACTAACAGGCCAGGAGACAGGCCCAGGAACTGCTGGGGCAGCCTGGCTGAGAGGTGAGAGCTAGTTAGTGGCCCTAAGAAGCAAACCTAAGTGAAGGCAGGTCCAGGCAGAGGGCGCTCGGTGCTCGTACACGGTCTGCTTCAATAACACTGGCAGGGAGGTCTGACAGAAGGGAAGCGGAAGCTGGCTAGTTAAGACTGTGCTGACACCTCAGAGGAGACAGTGAGCAGATGGGTCTGTAACAGACAATAACATGGCAGAGGTGTCCCAGGACAACTCAGCATACATGCGTGACACAGAGATGCTTGACACTGAGTTGGGGCCTGAGCAGAGAGTCAGAAGACAAGTTCTAGGACTCACATGCCCTCAGGTGTTGGTTTGTTTCCCTAGCTGACCAGATGACAAGGTTCTAGAGATAAAGAGGATACTTCCTGACTGAATTCAGGCACTGAGCGTGATGAGTCGAGTGGTGCTCACTGTTAGGATACAGGCAAAAAGAAAACACTACGACGTGCTGAAAGGATGGCTAGACTTTTCAAGGCATGGGGGAGGTCAGGTATTGGTGGCTCACCCCTGTAATCCTGGCTACTCAGGAGGCTGAGATCTGGAGGACTGTGGTCTGAAACCAGCCTGGCAATGAAATTCCATCTCCAAAATAACCAGCACAAATCTGGGCTGGCTGTGTGGCTTAAGTAGTAGAGCCTCAGCCAAGCCAGCAGGCTAAGCAAGCATGAGCACTCCGTAGAAAGCCCCAGTACATAGCAGGGTAGGGAAGAATGCATTAGGAAAAATGTAGAGCCAAGGGCATTCAAGGTACAAACAGCCTGAACAGAATCTGGTGACCTGTGTAACTACTGGCACTTGGGAATCCAAAGACCCTGTTAGAATCAGCAGTCTGTGAGTCTGCGCATCATATTCCTTCAAGAACAGAGGTTAGTCGAAGACAGATGTGTCCTTGAGTTTAGAAGATGGCTGCCAGAGGGTAGCGGGAGGCAGGGGCCAGGAAAGGAAACCTGGGCCGCCTGGACCTTCCCTACCGCAAGCCCACAGACACACCCAGGGTGTCAGCAGCTTCACAACCAGGGTGATGATGACAGCTTAGTATCTTTTTTCTCAGAAGGTTAAAGGGTAATTCCCCACAAAAAGATGTTATGAGTAAAATTCAGCCCAACTCCAAGGAACAGAGGCTTAGCAATGCTTCCACCTTCTTCAATGAGGAAACAGAAGTGAGCCCATGTTTCACTTCATCTCTGTCTAGAAGTCCCTTGCTGGGTTCTTTCTCAGGTTGTAGCCAGTGGGTCACTGGCATGGACTAAGGACATGGGTGGGTTTGGATAAATTCAGTGAACATTTGTCATCTACCACTAACTAGTAGAGTCACACCTTAAAACTTCCAATGACATTATCACCAGCAGGACAAGTAAGAGACAGACATAACCACTGTGTTCTAAGAGGCCAGGAGAACCAACACTTCACTTCATTTCTAATTCACCTACATTGCCTGGGAGAGTGGGAGAAACCTTGGGTGTGACCTAGCTCTGCCTGGACTCTTGTGGCCCTGTGAGGCCCTCCCCTTGCCACGTTTTAGTTTTCCCTTTATGCCAGGAGAGTATTTTGGATCTGGGGACAAAGTGAAGCAATGTGCCATTAAGGACATCTACCAGGTTACTCATGCTGTCTGACTCATCTACAAACCGTGTTCCCACGTCTCCTCCTTCATCCTAATGATTTGCTATGATAACTGACATTACCTAGGGAGACACTATGCTAATTAGAAAGGACACAAATGAACAGTAAGATGGAAAGTACACAGAAGGTGTACCTTCCAGAAGGTAAATTCCCTGGAATTTACCTTGTGTGGGCTGCATCACCCCCTCAGCTCATGGTCAGAAGCTCCTGACCCCCACTTGGTTTACATTTTATGAAGGTTCCATCAGAGAGGCACAACTATTTACGTACAGAGGACCTTGGTGACTGACTTCCCTGACTCTTCTCACTAGGCTGGGGCTCTGGAAGCCTCACATCTATTAGGCAGGGGCTCTACTGCTGAGCTAAACTCCAGGCCTCAAAAGGCACGCATCGTGCTAGCAATTCCAAGGATCTTAGAGGCTTTTGTATTAGGAACTGGGTATTAAAATATTATAATAGTGCTGGGAAGGTGGTTCAGTGGTAGAGCGCTTGCCTTGTATGCTCGTGGCCCTGGGTTCAATTCCTCAGCACCACATAAGCAAAAAGAAAAAAACCGGAAGTGGCGCTATGGCTCAAGTGGTAGAGCGCTAGCCTTGAGCTGAAGAGCTGAGGGACAGCACCTAGGCCCAGAGTTCAGGCCCCACGACCAGACCAAAAAAAAAAAAAAAAAAAAAAAAATATATATATATATATATATATATATATATATATATAATAAAAGATGTAGCCAGAAGCCGGTGGCTCACGCCTGTAATCCTAGCTACTCAGGAGGCTGAGATCTGAGGAGCATGGTTTAAAGCCAGCCGGGGCACGAAAGTCTGTGAGACTCGTATCTCCAATAAACCACCAGAAAACCAGAAGTGGCGCTGTGGCTCAAGCGGTAGAGCACTCACCTTGAGCTGAAGAGCTGAGGGATAGTGCCCAACCCAGAGTTCAAGCCCCACAACTAACGAACAAAAATAAAAAATTAAAAAAATTAAAAGATGCAGTAACAATAATAACAGCAATAATATGAATAAAAACTAACTTGTACTGATGATTAGGTACTAGACTAAACATTTCACCTTCTAGCTCATTTAAACCAACCCTATACATCCCCATTTATAGATACAGACACTGAGGCACAGAAAACTTAAATAAGTTGCCCATGGTTCCTCAGCTGGAATGTGACAGGACCAGAATTTGAACTAAGCAAGCAGTCAAGACCCCAAGCCTAGTACTTAATCGCCATGCTCCACCAATGTCAAACCCTCACCGACAGCTACAGGATATGTCTGAGGTGGTCAGGACACTCCAGAGGAGAAAGCCTTAGTCCTCTCAATAGCTGAGGTAAAGGTCTAATAAGAGCCACAGGGGGCTTCTTTAACTTCCCTGGTCAGAAATGTGTGCTGGCTTTACTCATCCTGTCTACACCAAGTGTCAAATTCACCCACGTCTTGAAGGTATGTGGGGTCTTTCAATGGACAAGCCCCACCCGCCCTCCCAGTTTCATTTCTGCCCTCCTTCCCACCTGCACTCTGCAAGACGTGCTGCGTTATCCTCTTTACCGGCATGCAGCTCTTCTGCCTGGCACCCCTACTCACACTCTGCTTTATGAACTCCTCGCCCCTCAGAGCTCCAGCTCAAATGCTACCACTGGTGATACCACTGACAGGCAGTTACCTGTTTCCCTTCCTTTGTTCTCCAAGCACCTTACATAGTCCTTTATGAGAGACTTACTACAATGCTGTATAGTCAGTTGCTTATGAATCCAAACTAGTAACGTGTGGGGGACGCTACTTATCTATTCTATCCTAGTCCCTTACACTCAGTAGATATTTACCATCTGTTAAACATATGAGGAAGTACATTTTTCAGACATGGAAGGATATACAACATCAAACAGAACTGGACATAACGGCTTTAAGAGCATATTGGGGCTGGGACTGTGGCTTAGTGGTAGAGTATTTGCTTAGCATCCTTGAAGCCCTGGGCTCAATTCCTCAGTACCACATAAACAGAAAAAGCTGGCAGTGGCGCTGTGGCTCAAGTGGTAGGGTGCTAGACTTGAGCAAAAGAAGCTCAGAGGCAGTGCCCAGGCCCTGAACTCAAGTCCCAGGACTGGCAAAAAATAAATAAAAAAGAGCATGTTGGTATGAACCACTATCACAGCTGGCAAAAAGATACAGAGTCATTGTTTCTCCCTCTAAACTAAGAGTTAGGCAGCAGGTTTCCCGAGGACCTGTGTAATGTCACTCAATGGAATGACAGTGCTAGGATGCCAGACAACCAGAGCTGTGGGGCGTAGGTAGAACAGGAGAGGGTCTCGGCATCAAGCCAAGACAAAGCCCAGCTTACCTCCTTCTTGGGAATTCATGATGTTCAGGGCAAACAGCATTGCATTGGAGAAAGTGGTCGCCTCTTCCTTACTTGCAAAGTTTAAGCCATATACCTGGCGGGCATCTCGCCACTGGTGGAAGGTTGGTGTTGCCTGATTGTACTTCAGCCCTTTCACGATCGAATAATTGATCACAACCTAGAGGAGAAAAGACCGAGAAATGAGTATAAAGAAAATGTAAGTGAAATGGAGGGAGCCCTGATGGGGCGAGGATATTGTATCCCCCGGTTTATGGTGCATTGGGATGGGGTTCAAAGAAAAGGAAAGCACGATTGGGGACATTTTTCCAGAACATATTCTATAGAGCAGCGAAAATGTGAAAAACTCATGATTTCATTTAACTAATAATATTGTGTAGGCACAAATCTCCACATGAATATATCAGGACTCAGCAGTTACGTTCTTGTGTTTTTTTTGTGCCAGTCCTGGGGCTTGAACTCAGGGCTTGGGCACTGCCCCTGAGCTTCTTCTGCTCAAGGCTAGCCCTCTACCACTTGAGCCATTTCCAGCCTTTTCTGTTTACATGGTACTGAGGAATTGAACCCAGGGCTTCATGCATGCTAGGCAAGCATGCTACCACTATGCCACATTCCCAGCTCTTTTTCTAGCCTCTAAAAGAGTTTGTATAAGATTAGAATTGTTGCTTTCTTAAATGTTTATTTAGCCCACTGGGTCTGCAGTTTCCTTGTGGGATGGTTAGATTTATAATTACATATTAAGTTTCTTTAGTAGACATAGAAAAATTTAGTAGAAAATTAAGATTTTTCTATTTTTTCTTTCTTTTTTTTTTTCTTTTTCGGTTGTGGGGCCTGAACTCTGGGCCTGGGCACTGTCCCTCAGCTCTTCAGCTCAAGGCTAGCACTCTACCACTTGAGCCACAGAGCCACTTCTGGCTTTTTTTTTCTGCTTATGTGGTGTTGAGGAATCGAACCCAGGGCCTCATACATGCAAGGCAAGCACTGTACCACTAAGCCAACTTCCCAGTCCTGTCCCTTAGTTCTTTAGCTCAAGGCTAGTGCTCTACCACTTGAGCCATAGCACCACTTCCTGTTTTCTTGTGGTTAATTGGAGATAAGAATCTCCAAAATTTCCTGCCTGGGCTGGCTTTTGAACCTTGATCATCAGATCTCAGCCTCCTGAGTAGCTAGGATTACAGGCATGAGCCATCAGCACCTGGCTTCTATTTATTCTTGTGTCAGTCTTGGGGCTTGAACTCAGAGCTGAAAGTTGTCCTTAAGTTTTTTTGCCCAAAGCTAGCACTCTAACACTGAGTCACAGCACTAATTCTGGCTTTTTGGTGGTTAACTGGAGATGAGAGTCTCAGGCTTTTCTGCCCAGGATGGCTTTCAACTGTGATATTCATATCACAGCCTCCTGAGTAACTAGGATCATAGGCGTGGGCCCTTAGTGCTTCGCTTTTGTATTTTGGCAAGTTCTTTTACAATGAATATGTCTATCTCTTCTAAATTGACCAATTTCGGGTATGTTATTTTATGTTTTTATTGTTATAAGATAGTAGTGCTATCACCCTTTTTATTCCTGGTATTGGCAATATGTTGTTTTCTTACAATAGATGCATAATTCTATTTTCTTTACTTTTCTTTCATGTGTGTGTGTGTGTGTGTGTGAGCACACGCGCGCACACGTGCGCCCGCACGCACACGCACAGGTCCTGCGACTTATATCAGGGCCTGGGAGCTATCTTGGGGCTTTTGTGCTCTACCACTTAAACTACAGCTCTACCTCTGGCTTTTTAGTAGTTAACTGGTGATAAGAATCTCACAGACTTTTCTGCCTAGGCTGGCTTTAATCCAAGATTCTCAGATCTCACCCTCCTGAAGTATAGGATTCTAGGCTTAAGCCATCAGTGCCCAGCATTAATTCTCTTTCCAAAGAATTGACACTTGGCTTCAAAGAATCAAGATATTTTATTTTATTGTATCTTTCTATTATTAGCTTTTGATTTTCTTTTTTCTTCCCTCCTACTTTGGCTTGGTTTAATCTACTTTTTGATTTTTCTAAGTTCCTGAGATAAAAGTATATAGATAGATTACTGATTTTTAGTTGTTCTTTTCTTAACATGTGTATTTAGAGCATAAAATTTCATTCAGGCACTGTTTTAGCTGCAATCCATAAATTTTGTTGTTATATTTTCATTATCATTTAGAACAAAGCATTTTCTAAGTTACATTGTAATTTCCCATAGCTTACTTAATAATGTACTGCTTAATTTATAAACATTTGGAAACTTTTTGTAGTTATATTTGATACTGATTTCTGGTTTGATTATTCTGTTGTCCAAGAACATACTTTGTAAGGTTTTAATCTTTTAAAATTTGAGACTTGCTTATTTTATGGCCTAGTATATGATTTATATTCTAAAAGTTGTATGTTCACTTGAAAAGACTTTGTATTGTAGAATTATTGGTTGCAATTTCTACAAATATAAATTAAGTTAAATTGGCCAATAATGTTATTCCTATTTTTTGTCTTTATTCATTACTGTCTACTTGTTCAGTCTATTACAGGGCATGATCAGAATTTCTAAATACGCTTTGAACTTGTCTATTTCTCAGAATCTTTAGATTGGTCCATTTTGCTTTATGTAGTTAGAACACATTGAATGCATTAAGTTGTTTTGGTTTATTTTTCAATAGACCTTTTTATAATAAAAAGGTCAACTTTTCCTTAGTAATCTTTGTTGCCGTAGGTCTTTTATCTGATATTATATAATACAGCAATATGAGCATCTTTTGGCTACAGCTTCTTTTAGTTAGTGTTTATAAGATTTATTTTCTTCTAGTCTTTCACTTTTAGCCTCTTCTAACTAGGGTTTATTTAAAAAAATAGTTCTCTGATATTTGGCAGGACTGATCTGGATATTTTTGAAGTCAAAGGCTTGGGCATGAGGTCCTAATCTGGATACTTTGGAAGGATAAACTTTCAAAATTCTGTACTTCCTGAAGAGGACCTCAGAATCACAATGTTTGCATGTTTTATTTTAGGGAGTGTACATTGTATGAGTAAATGGGAATGCCTTTCCTTTTTCTTTGTTCAGTATGGGGGTTCAAACTCAGGGTCTTGTAGAAGCTGGGCAGGTGCCAAGCTACTGCCAAGCCATGTCTCCATCCCTTTTTATGCATTGGTTACTTTTGAGACAGGGTCCTCCTCCCCCCACCCCCCTTCCGCCCCCGCCCCATCCATTAAACTCAGGGTCTGGGCACTGTCCTTGAGTACTTCTTCTTTTTTTTCTCTCAAGGCTAGTGCTCTTCCACTTGGAGCCACAGCTCTACTTCCTGTTTTTTGGTGGTTAATTGGTTGTAAGAATCTAGTGGATGTTCTCTCTGGGCTGGCTTTAAACCTCGATCCTCAGGTCTCAGTCTCCTGGTTAGCTAAGATTACAGGCATGAGCCACCAATGCCCAGAATGAGACAGAGTCTTGATTCCTACCCAGGTATGTACATAGGTCAAGTTCACCTCCTTTTGGCTTCCTCTCATAGCTAGGGAAACAGGCATATGGCCACTGAGTCCAACTTTCCAGGAGTTTCATGAACTTTTCTGCCTGAGCTAGCCTCTGTCTTCCAAATTGAGCCACTGGGTGCCAATGATTCACACCAGTAATCATAGCAAGCTACTAGCTAGGTTAAGATCTGAGGACTGAAGTTTGAAGCCAGCCCAGGCAAGAGTCCATGAGCTTCTTATCTCTAATTAACCACCAGAAAACTGGAAGTGGTACAGTGGCTCAAAGTGTGAAAGCTCAGGGACAGCACCAAGGCTCTGAGTTCAAACCTCACCACCACCACCACCAACAAAAATGAAGTCTTTGCAACTCCAAATACTATCCAACATGTTTTGAGGCCTTTAGGAAAAAAAAAATACTTACCAGTCTTTTATCAGGAAAATTTAACGATGGAGAACTATCTTTTTACACTTATATATTTATTTGGATCTAAAAACCATGAAATCTATAGACTGATAAATTGAGGCATCATCTCATCCAAATGAATACCTAATGATAGAACGTGTTTCCCATTAGCTAGTACTCTTATAGGTCATGCTAAATCTTTCAACAGTATACTTGTGCATTGTCATTTTTTGTTATTGTTATGCAATAACAGGCTAAATTTATAAAGAGGGTTCTTCAAACTGTGATGCTCAGATCTTAAGTCTCCTGAGTAGCCAGGATTACAGGCGTGAGCTACTAGTGATCAGATAAGTAGACTTTTTCATAAATAGTCAACCATATATCTGTTAAGTTCACTGCTTGAAGTGTCCTGGTCAATCTCTATGGAGAGGGCTAAAGGGAGCACAGAGGCTCTCACCAAGGTCATTGTCTAAGCAGATAGATAGCTGGTCTATTTCTCTACATACTGATTTTAACCTATATCACATCAGACCACTGTGCCTTAGTTATGTGCATCAGTCATTTGTGATATAATATCTTGTACTAACATAGGTATTTACCAGCTACCCTCACAATCTACCCCATGTGATCTGCCCAGGATGTGTTATTACAAGACTGTCTCAAGTGCTAGGATTGTAAGCCTGTGCCATTGCACCTAGCTTATCAAAAATCTTTTTTTTTTTTTCTTTTTGGGGGTCCAGTCGTGGGGCCTGAACTCTGGGTCTGAGCACTGTCCCTCAGCTCTTCAGCTCAAGGCTAGCGCTCTACCACTTGAGCCACAGCGCCACTTCCGGCTTTTTTCTTTTTGCTTATGTGGTGCTGAGGAATCGAACCCAGGGCCTCAGGTATGCAAGGCTAGCGCTCTACCACTGAGCCACCTTCCCAGCCCCTGCTTATCAAAAATCTTAACAGCAATTGTACATACAGACATATAAATACAGATCAAGACTAAATACTTGTGTATTGTATTTTTTCAAAGCCTTTTTGTGTCTATTATTATTATTTTTAAATCCGACAATAACAGTTTACTAGGTAGGATTAGATTTCCATCTCCACATGAAAGATGTGAAAACTGAAGTTTGGAATAGAAGTTTACTTAAAGTCTCGTATCTTTTTTTTTTTTGTTGTTGGTAGTAGGGCTTGAACTCTGGGCCTGGTTGGTGTCCGTCTTCTCTTCAACAAGGCAAGCACTCTACCACTTGAGACACACGCATCATTTCTGGTTTTCTGGTGGTTAATTGAAGATAGTCTCATGAACTTTCCTGGCGGGGCTAGCTTTGAACCGCAATCCTCAGATCTCAGCCTCCTGAGTAGCTAGGATTATAGGTGTGAGGCACCGGCACCTGGCTGAAGTCTCATATGATAGAGTATAAGGCTACAGAGTCAGAATTGGAATCAATGGAGGGAATATCGATCAAAATGCATTGCACTTATAAACTGATTTGTTGAATGCTAACTTCTTTGTACAACTGCTTAAAGATAATAAAAGTATAATTTTACAAAAAAGAATTGGAATCCAGATCTCCAATTCTAAATATTGACCTTTTCTTCAGACCTCTTTTCCTTATGCACATGTGGAAAGGGTTAGAGCCCAAGGGTGTGATCTGTGACTCCAGAACTAACCTGCTGATCTTGTAGCTTGACTCCGACGACTCTGAAGGTGTTGCTGGCAGTGTTGTGGTAGATGTTGATCCGGCTGAATCCCTGTTGGCCAGGCTTTATTGGTACCCATTTCTTACTGGTGTCATCATAGACCATCACGGAAGCCCGGGCTTGGCAGATACTCTGTTCACTGCAGAGTAAGAAAAAAAAAAACCAGTGTGAGCCTCAGCCATGTGAGATGAGAGCTAACGTGACGCTTCTGAATCATAGGCCAAAGTCTACTTGACATAAATTCTAGCTGACACAACTTCCAACTGTATACAGTAGGGCTACACTAAAAGGTGATGATTTTATTCTCAAAAGATAGGGTAAAAAGGAGGTTCTGTGTTAAAAGGTGTGAATAGACTGGAAACCTCCCATTTTTGCTTGGAAAGGGGATGTGAATGTGCGAGGAGTTACACAATTTGCCAAGTAGCTACAATGTTTGAGGCATTGACTTATTTTGGGGGGGGGGGGTACGGTGAATTCAGAGTCTTGTACTAGGAGATGTTCTACCATTTGAGTCATGCCCCAGCTCCTTTTTATTTAAGTTATTTTTTAGATAGAGTCTTGTACTCTTTTTCCCAAGACTGGCCTCAGACTGCAATCCTCTTACTTATGCTTCCTGCATAGCTAGGGTCACAGACACGTGTTACGACACCACATCTGTTTATTGAGAACAGAGTCTTGCTAACTTTTTGCTCAAATTAGCCTCAAACCATAGTCCTCCTGATCTCTACCTCCTCAATAGCTGTAATTATAGAAGTGAGCCACTGTGCCAGCACTATGCTAAATAAGCCAATGCTCATAGCACCGATCTGTCACAACTTACCACTCTCATTCTACAGATAAGAAAAGAGTAATTTAAGAGACTGAAAAGATTGTTGCAAGTTCACACCATCCACTTCTGTCCAACTCTAGAGCATATCACATGAAGAATCTTCTTTGCAGTACCCAATAAAATGCTAAATATAAGCTATCAGGATAGGGTAGCATCAGATAAGCTATCTACATCATAGAATGGTTAGGCCATCTAAGAACGAAACAGCATACACTAAAATAAACAGATGGCTGCATCTCACTTTGCTAAAGATATTTACATAGTAAAGCAACCTCTTTCTGCTTAGAATATGATAGAAAACCAGGGGACAAACAGAAGTCCCAGTAAGGTCAAATGCCATCGCTAAAATTAATACATAATAAAGGAGGCTTCTGTATTTGGAGGTGGTCTTTCAGAGCTTGCTGGCTCTTTGTTTTACACAGGCGCCCAGTAATCTTGAATAGTCTCATCCTCTAGTATGTGAAGATTGCTGAATTTACAAAGGTACAAAGTGCTGTTGAAGGCAGACACACTGCCAAGAGTGGAGAGCAGCATTAGTCAGAAAAGGAGGCAGCATAAAGACAATGATGAACTGCAAACAAACTTCACAGTTCAAGCATTGGGGGGAATCAATAAAAGGCATATGTGAATGGTAATGGACAGTCGTCATAATGGGTCCAAGCAGGTGGGACAGTCACAGTATGCTCACGCTGCCACAAGATTTGGGAGAGACCCCTATCTCCAGCTTTGCAGCTCCACCTGGGTGACACATCTGGTGGTGTTCGTAAGCTTTGTCCTCAGTGACTTGGCCCAGACCTAAATGTGACCAATGTAGGCAGTTCTGAAACACTGCAGAGGGCTAAGCTTCCTCACCCCTCCTCGCTGCTCACGTACTGTGGATTGTGCAGTGCACACAACCACACTCCTCATAAAAATATCCTGGAAAGGTCTTTCTCTCAATTGACTTTAGAGGAATGCCTCTATCTAGTCCCCACTTGGTCACATTCTCTCCCTGTGTCTGGGTCCTAAAACAGCACACATTTTGGCCTGAGTCTGACAAACACTGAAACCAGTAAGTGAAGAAACATCTAAGGAAGAAGCCAAGGCAAGGCAGCCCGGCCAGTCCCTGTGCACAGGGAGCTCACAGCTAAGACAAACAGTTAACCAACCTTACCTCCCCAGGAGGGGCTAGGGAAGCCAGGGGAAACTTTCTGAAGAAAAGGTGCTGGGTCTCAAAGATGAAGTTCAACCACTAGACAAGTCAGGAAGCGGATGTGGGTTTCTCAGCAGAGGAGCCAAGCAGCCCAGACAGAGGGAGGGCAAGAACCACATGGTAAGCAGAGGGCTGCAGACCCTTAAGGATGGTGCAGGATACCTGGGGGCACTTCACACCATGCTGGGGTGTTAGGAACAGAGAGGATATAAATAGAGCACCTCCTTCTGGGCTGCCACCTACTAGACACTTCAACACCAATGGCTATTTTGGGCATAGCAATTATAACCATCAGATTCCTTTTTTTATTGTTGTTGTTTTTAAACACTTCAGATTCAAATTAAACTTGTGGTTAACCAAAACTCCTGGATCCTCACACTCAAGCCTGACACTACTACCATTTGAATAGTGCTTGTCTGTTCCTTTGTACTGTATTTCCATTTACAAAACCCAAATGTAAAAAAAATACACATTTATTCTATTTAAGATCACTCTTGCTAATTTAGGATTATCCCTTTGGAAGTTTTGTTTTAATAAAACCTTGATTGCTATCCAATTATCATTGTCTGTCGGGGCTGGATATGTTCTACTGTCTTCTTAGCATCTTCACTCAAACTGTATGTGCGACACACAATCAGAAACCCACTGTGCTCGTCAGCTATCTTTTGAGGAAATCTGAACATGTCTTCTTATTTATTTATTTTGCCAGTACTGGGGCTTGAACTCAGGGCCTGGGTGCTGTCCCTTAGCTTTTCTGTTCATGGCTGGAGCTCTAGCTGAGACTTTCTAAAAAGTCTTGTTACCAAATAAATGGATGCCTGGGCTATTTTTAAAAGCATATAAATACAAAACTGTCTTTACTAAATATAAAACGACGATTTCTACTTCCTTCCTAAGAGGTCTTGTATAAGTGAGGACTGTGTGGACATGGCCTCCGAGCTCCCCACCCTCTGTGGCTTTGATGAAAACCAACCGGACAGGATGAGGATGTAGCTCAGTGGTAGAGCACTTGCCCAGCATGTAACAAGACCTTAGGTCCTATCCCAGTACTGCAACAAAACAAAACTTTTTGTCTGAAAATTAATCATTTGAAGCTGGAGAGGAAAGAAGGTTGATTATAACAATCACTTGATGTGTGTGTGTGTGTGTTGGGGGAAGGAGTTCAGTCAAAATATACAGTTTAGCTTAGTCTGTAAAGTGCTAAACTACCATCTCAATGAGCTTTTTTCTCCTAGGAACTTATAGGGTGATCTGAGAAAAATGTCCAACTCTAGCTTCTCTCTTTTAGAACAAGCACCCAATTCCACTGTCATCTTTGTCATTCTGGCCTTATATACAGGTATTTGTGGTTCTGTAAAATTTTTGACTCTGTCCTTTGTTGGGTGGGTATCAGTTGGAGGGGAAAGAGGAATGAGGGTAACTATGGTTGAAGGTCTTCAAATGTTACCCAGACTAGCTTATCATAAATAAATCCTAGTTGGAAAAGGAGAGGACGGGAAGGGAAGAACCTGTAATTTCTTCTTAGTGACATTGCATCACAAAACCCAAACAAGTCTTTAGATTGTACATTTGTCAGCTTAGTGGAGAAGTACTGAGTGGCTGGGCCTTGGTGTCATTATTTGTATTTCAGGGACTCCTTTGACCTCAGAAGTCTTCTAAACAGATGGTGAGTATTCACCAAGCTCTGCCCATTGCCCAGATAGGGCAAAGGTATGGTAGAGAGAAGAGAAGGGAGTCTCTGTCTATTGCTGTTTGGTCAGTCAACTTTTTTAGATCATACTCTACTAGATACTACTCTATCTACTGAAATTGTTCTCTAAGAAGGAATAAAGACAAAACATACCTCATACTGCACACAATTGAAACCTGAGCATGGGTTGTTCTGCTCCCAATGTTAAGAATTCACTAATGCATTTAGGGATAAAACTAAAAGACAGAAAAGAACTCCCTATGACATATGCCCCAGGGTGATGACAGCTGATAGCCAGCTGTGGTATCTCTAATCTTCCTGGAAAAGTACAGCTAGCTGTCCAGAGCTTGTTCTACCATTCTTTCTTGTGTGGCCAGGAATTAGCTTTTCAGATCCATCCTGGCCCTGTTCTTTCCTGTGCACAGCTACCTGGCACCTCTTTAAACTTAGGGACATCTTTCAGGCTTTTCTGGACTTTGCATAAAGTGGAGGAGAGCTGACTACAGAGACTCACTGAACAATGAGAGTCCAGGGCTGAGCTGAAGAAATGTGGAGAGCTTAGACCTATCAGAGAAGAGCCTAGCTCTGTTATACACACTCACTCCTACCTCTACCACAGTCTAGCTCTGTCACACATGCTCATTCTGCCTCTACCACAGTAGTTCTCAGTTTGTCCTGCTTCTGTGCATCTGTCCCACCAGACTGTGGTGGGACAGGCAGGGCCTGTTTTTCCCTTTGTAAATCCTGTAAGCGTATCATTAGGGACTGAAGCCAGGTCCAGAGGGGACTTATACCTCCACATGGATGTTCCAGGAGCCATCTCAGACACTCTTTCTGAAGGGCACTGACAAACTGTCCCTCTGTTGTATGCCACATGCCTCCAGGTCATGAATATTATATCCAGACAGGCTTCCTGAGGTATAACTAGGAAATTCTGGCTATAATTCCTTCCCATGGGGTTTATCTTTGGAGGTCTAAGACAACAGGGCACACACCCTTATGCTGATCTCAGGAAACATCTGTTCTGGAATTCTGCTGCTCTGGAACTGATGCTGTCTATACCCTGTCCAGTACATTTCAGTGAGTGCAGTGGTGAAGACATTCCAGGCACATATATCCTGAGTGTTAAATCGCTATAGAAAATACTGATAATCTAGTTTGGGGATTTAGCTCAATGGAAGTGCACTTGCCTAGCAGGTGTAAGGCAGCTAGTGGTAAAGCTTAGTCTGATAGAAAAATCATCCCTCCTGACATCTGGACTAATTAAAATGACTGGTGGCTCCAGCTATAATCCTACCTACTCAAGAGGATGAGATCTGGAGGGAGGTTTGAAGCCAACCTACTAGGCAGGAAAGTCTGTAAGACTCTCATTTTCAATTAACCACCAAAAAGTGGGAAGTGGAGGTGTGGCTCAAGTGGTAGAACACC